CCTGGGTGTGGTAGCTGTTTAACAATTATGTCTATTCATTATTGTCCTGTAAGACCCATTAGCATAAGTCCCACTGGCCAACACAACCAATATAGAGGTGTCATCTGGCAAGAGCTACAAAAGTCAGGGTACCAGAGAAGGACATAAGCTCCTTTCTGTAAGAAACTGGTGAGCTGGAACAAGGCAGAAGAAGAGCACAACAATTGCATTCACTGGCCTCCATCCCTAAGAGCCCTTCCATAGGCCCCTCAGGCCAAAGCTCCTGGCCAAGCAAATGCAGCTCTTTCTCAGAAAAAGTGGGGGTGCATTTCAGTCTGCTACCCGGACAGTGCCCTGGGAGTGGTGGTCTGCGAACTGTCTGTTACAGTTTCATGGGATCCAGGAACACAAGCCTCCCTGGCCGCCAGGGCCACGAAATCAAACGACATGCTCGGCATGACAGCCTCAAAAATTGGGTCACCGGATGTAAAAATAAGGGCAATAGACATATGCCAAAGCTCTCTTTCAGAAGATAAAGAAGGGTTAGAAGAAAAGAAATGAAGAACAAAGGAAAGAAAAAAAGGACAAAATGATGGTGCCCACTGGCTTTAGCAGGACAGAAGGACAATAGTAGGTTCACGTTCGCTGGCCTCTATGCGTGGAGACTATCCCTGCAACCTCCTGTCCTCAGACCAATGCTTTAATATTAGCCAATGAGTCTTTTTCACAAAGTGTACGTGCTCTTCCAACAGTTGCATCTGTGCCGGCCTCTGCAACAGACAAGTCAGCACGTGAGCCCTTGAACACCTGTTTCATAGTTTGCCACAGCCCGCCAGGTGTTCTGGGCATGAACCCCGTTGCTCTTCAAAGCCATATTTTGGGTACTTGTCTCTCAACTGCCAGTCTTAAATGATGGGGTACTTAATGTGGTATACAAACCTTTTGACTCTCAAATTGAAGCACCAGGTTTTCAACTCCTTTTCACTTGTGGGTTTTCTCACCTAGGGGTGGGGTTTATGAGAGCATCTAACCCTTTCCTACAAGGCTTTGATATGGTTTCTCTCTCATTTTCTAATGTGAAGGGGTTGCTTCACCAGGCTTTAGGGGGTTTTTTCCCCTCAAAGGATACTGTTGCATATAGAGCTGTGGGTTCAATGTGTCCATGGAAGAAGGTGAGGTCAGGATAGTCCCACATCGCCATCTTCAACAGCAACCACACTGTTACCGAACAATGGACCTGTGCGGGGGGTGAGGAGGTGTCCAGATGCTCAGATGCTGTTACCGAAACAACGTCCCCCTCCTTCCTGGGAGTCCCTCAGTTGGAGGTCCTTTGCCCGCCACCCTTGGAATCATGGCTCTCAATGGCAGAGTTGGGTGAAAAGGAAAGGAACTATTTCTCCAAAAGTTATACAGGTGTGATTAATGGCTAAATGTAACTCTTAAATCTCAAAATCCCTTTAAAGCCCCCACCATTTAAAACACCCACCAACACACACAGTCCTGCCTTCCCCCCTTTGCCCAGTCAGGCCAGTCAGGGGCACCGTCCTCCAGAAGGAAAAGACCAGAAGTCCGGGGCTCGGCTGGGCAGGCCTCTCGCGGGTCTCAGCACCATCCGCTGCGTCGCCGCGATCTCCAGCTCTTAATCCATAACCACGTGGCACCTTCTCAGGGCCCACGAGCAAGAGTCCTTTCTCCCCTTTTCCTTCCCTCATGGCCTTCCCACTGTTATCCAGAGTCTGTGTCTCTCTGTCTCTCCCACAGGCCCCTATCTCTCCTTCCTCTCCCAGTTACATTCAGTATTAAGTCTTTCAAACCTGCCAGGTTAGCCTTGTTGAGATGTAAAATAACTCTCTTTGCATATGAGATCTGAGCCATCCTGTTATTGACATGCAAAATGACTCTTAGTGGCCCTGCTCCACTTCAGGTGAGAAGCTCGCCAGTTACTGATACAGGAAGCAGCTCTCAATGGCCCTGCTCCAGGTCTCCCATCCCCCACAGCAGCCCATCTTGGGGCGGAGAGAATATCATATTTTCTTGGACACCCCAATTTCTGGACCTCATTACAAATACCATTTGGGGGGCCCTAGCTGTGCCCCATTACAATACCTCTACATTTTACAGCCTCATTGATTACTGCTTGCCTGTATATTTATAGCCAAACAATAGTACTTCTTATTACTCAACTCCCCACTTTTTTTCTTTCTACCGTTGCCTCAATAATGCTTACTCTTCCTCCATATTTAGTAATGACTTGAAAACTTTTCTGTTATCCAAGACCCAGTTCAAATGCAATTTCCCAGCTCTTGAAAATGTACACCCCAACCCCAGAAGATCAGAGGATCTGATAGTCTACGCTAACAGCCCCTGAAATTTTGCTTCTCTTCTTTTCCTTTATTAACCAATTTGAAATTCAGCTTCTGTAAACCAATTGTTCTCTCCCTAATCTATCAATTCTGTATATTAAAAATTCCACACATATAATTATCCTAAACAAAGTAATACATGAAAAATGAAAACAATTTTCTGTTTCAAAAACAAAATTGTGGTTAATCATTAAAACATCAGAGAACCAAAGTACCTTAATTATTCATTGCTAGTAAATTTGAAACTTTGGAAGATAAATTAATTATTTTAAAACCTTAATGTATAGTAGCATACTTTTACATGTAATTCTGTTACATTTGTAGTGTACTTAAAGGCACAGTATTAGCTATAAAGAATTAATATAATAACCAAACTACTTACTCCGTAAAAGAGGAATGTGGTTTAAGCAGTAACCTTACTTTTATGGTGGGTCATAATTCTGGAAAATATGCAAAAGAATTATAGGAGAAACTGATTTTGTTATAAATGCAATTTTATAATAAGGGAGTTAAATTTTCACATAACAGTGCGATGATTAATATTTTTATAGAAATAACCACATAATCCTTCAGTACAATTTATTTTGTCTACAATAAATGTTGTATTTAAACTCTGTGCTTGAATTTAAAGCTTTCTAAAGGTAAACAGCATAAGCAATCATGTATAAACTGTATTTAAGTTAGTATAGATTGTTGTACAAAGTTTTTATACTCCTCAAAACTCATCTTTATTTTTTTTAACCAGAACCATTGGGTGGGTGGTCAAAGTCTTTCATTAAGAATATAAGATTTCTAAGTGGATTTTGAGGGGTGTTTTGCAGGGATTTGGGAGCAATGTCAGGCTATTTGGTGAAATTTTGAAAAGTTGATTCAAGGATATATGTGTTACTGTTCCCTTTGTCTTACATGTTGTCCCTGTGATAAGCAAAGAAATAACTTCAAATTGTTCATTACAATACCTTCAATGAATCTCACTGGCTTCTTGAACTGTTAATCTCATAATTTGAAGCATTGTCACTTTTTCCACTGGCATTATATGTTGGGGCATTTATAGGGTTACCATACTGAGTACATGAAACACAGAATTTTTTCTTGTATTATTATTTATTGACCATTGTATTATTTTTACATATGAACAACCATACATTTACTATTTCCCCACCCTGTAAAAGTCATCCTAGCCTTTAAAATTCAAGAACCAACTATTTCTGGCTTTGATGTTATCATTTTCTCACTACGATAGGGACTCACCACCCCCAAAGATTTCATTTTAATGGTGGCCATATAAAAAGCCAAATAATTTAATTTCACCACTAATCCACAGTACCTCTTGTCAATAACTTGAAAGAGGTAATATAAAGTGTGGCTATTTAGAATCGAGGTTCCTTTTCTTCACAGACATAGCAGAATGTGTCGTTCCAAATGGGTTTCTTTCAAAATTATCTCTTTGGAGTGGGTCTGTTGGTATATTATTTCTGATAATGCTGCCATTCCCCAAGCAGATCTGAAAACCCTCTTTAGGCAGTGCTTTCAGATGCCAATTAACAAAGCACAAGAAAATCCATTTCACTGCTTTATAATTACAGAACTTTTTCCTGCCATAGAATCCTTGCTCCTTTTTTAAAAAATTCGTCCTTGTTTAGCCGTCCCCTCATCCATAGCTAGTCTGTTCAAACAGATATTCTGAAGACTATCACTTCCTCTCTGCACACCAAATGCCTGACATGCTATTTAAATTGCAAGCATAAAAGGTTAGAATGTTGCGTTGAGCTTCAGAAATGCCAACCTGAGAAGTTAAGGATTCTTTATATTTAAATCCTCCATAATGGCTCTAAAACAATAGCTAGAACCTCCAGAAAACTGAAGATTTCCAGAAGGACAACACACACTTTTCCCCCATTCACTCATGATGTAATAATATTTCCTGTTTCTAATCCAATTCTATGAGCTCTGTTCACAGAGAAGGTTCTTAATAAATACATGTTCAGAGACATGCATAACATGATTTTAGAAAAAAGAGGTTGGGCAAGCTTCAAATTTTGTTTTGTTTCACAGAATGCTCATCTCTCAGCTTTAAATCTGTCTTTAATCTGTTGATGGGATTTATACGACCTATATTAAGCCTTAAAATATATTTTGGGGGAAATAATAAACTATTTAGGTTTCCTATATCCCTGATCATCAGGACTCTGTAGCTCAAGGCTGTATTAGAACAACATCCATTTATCATTTGATACCTTGCAGCCTGAAGCCTGACACTTACCCCTACACCCCGCAGACTTTTCAGATAATCTCAGGTAAATTTTGTAAAAATGGTTTTGGTCTCATGTGTCTTAGCTTTAGTCTGTGTCATCACCATTCAGGTCAAGCTTAGTACGGACCTTGTAAAAATAACAACACGAGTGGAGTGAATGGCCTAAACGTATGTGGTACATACAGGATAAATTTTGACTCACCAACGTTTATCGCCCAGACAAGTTCCTTCAGATCCCTGAAGTTCCATTTATTTATTTATATTGGAAACTTCCACAAGTTTATGAGAAGGGCCTGATGAGATGCTATATGTGGAAAGTGCCAAACCGGAACACAATAGACACCCAAGACATTTTCAGTGAATGAACAAATTCCCATGCCCTTTAATCAAATAGGTTTGTGGTCCTGACATTTGTGCCACATCACCTCATTCTTCACTCCCTCACGCCTGCTCATTTATCTCTTGGAAAGACAGGATATGTTTACTCTCATTCACAAATAAATGTCTTCATATAAAAAGATTTGCACATAGAAAAGATTCATTTATTGTACCTTATTAACAATCCTTTCCCGAAGAAATGTTTCAGATAAAATTTCTCATTTGCATTTGGTTGAAAACATCTGTAAAGACTTGAAAGTGCCTTGAATTTCAAAGAGGGAACAGGCAAACCCAATTTTCCTTTCCTCCCACATTTTTCACATTCTGCCTCTACCATCAGACCCCTATGACCACAACTATTACATAAGAGGACATTTATTTCTGTTGTTCCCCAAGTTCAGTTACAGAAATTGTTTGGCTGGTCTTTCAGTCTTGGAAAAAAAAGGGGGGGGGACCAGTTAAAAAAAGTTGCAACTTAAGAGTTATTTTATTTTTAGGAAATCATTGATGAACCACTCTCCCTGCTCATGAGGCGGGATCGGGTCAGAGAGTTGCCATGAAGGGACAGTTGGTCACGAAATTCGGAGGCCATAAAGTAATAGAGAATTGGATTCAAAAGGCAGGAGAGACTTGCAAGGCATAGAGAAAAAGGGTGAAAATACTGTGTGCTTCTGACAATGGAACAACTGATAATGATTTTTTCCTGTACCATGGTGTAAAAAAAAAAGTTTATATGATAGGGGGTGAAGCATATGAAGAAGACCGCAGCGCACATGTAAATCATCCGCAGTGCTTTCTGCTTCTCACTGATTCCCTGGAAAGCCGTTGGTGGCTGTCTCAAGAATATAGTAGTTTTCCAGGTACACCATGCAATGATAACGACTGGGATCACAAATCCTGCCAGCTCAGCAAGAGTAATCATTCCAACCAAAGCCACAGCATCCATTTTCTTGTATCCAAGATCAGCAAAGCAGGATTCGTTTTTCTTGGATAATGCAGCACTTCTCAGGATGGGAAATGGCAAACAGGCAGTGCCCACGACGACCCAGATGGCAGCGCTGATGCCCACATCGTACCTTCGCTTCCAGTCTCTGGCCCTGAAGGGCTTGAGAAGAAAGAAGCACCTCTGAAGGCTGATGCAGGTCAGGAAGCAAACGCTGGCGTACATATTGAGATACTTCAGGTAGAAGCACAGCAGGCAAAGGGGCGTCTGGAAAGGCCAGTGGCGGTTGATGTAGTAGTAAATCCGGAGGGGTAAGGACAGCACGTGAGCAAGGTCAGCCACAGAGAGGTTGATCATGAAAATGATGGCTTTGTTTTTCTTGCTGATGAAGCGGCACAGAACCCACAAGGCTGCGGTGTTGGCCAGAAGACCAGGGATAAAGATGGTAATGTAAGTGGTTGCATAGAGCGTGTGCTGAAATTGCAAAGGAGTGTCATCGCAGGCATTGGTAGAGCTGTTAGACATCTTGAATATTTCAGTATATTCATTAAGGTAAGCCGTAGAGTTATGATCCCTGCCCAGAGCAAAGAGAAAAAAGGAGTAAAATGGTTAATCGGTTCTTCAGCCAACACCCAGATTCCTGTTTAGACTTGGAAAGAAACAGAATATTATAATTAGAAGGGACCTGTTTGCAGATGAATGCTCACAGAAACAAATGCTCACAGAAAACATACCACTCATCTAAAGTCACCTAATGAATCATTTAGAGGAACATGAAATTGTCCCCAAATTGCCCTCACAGATGGTGAAAGTTGGCTTTTGCAGGCAAGGGTATCCGGAAGCATTTAGGCTCTTGTTCCCACCACAGCAAAAATGGTATGGCATTTGAATCTGTTTTTCTTGCACCCAAATTTGTCTTGCCCCAGCCCTTGTCAAAAGTAAACACTGCTCACTCATTCTCAATTGCAATGATAGCGATTGAGCCTCACCTTTTCTGTCCTTTTGTCTTTACTTCATCTGCTACCTTGCCCATTGGGCCCTGACTTCCCACCGTGGCACTCCACAACTTGCAAAATGGCCCTCCCTCTCTTAGCCTGCATTGCCAGTATGCTATCTGATTATTTTATCACAATGGCTTGTGGTTCTCATGCACTTTATGTCTCACCCTTGGCTTAGATTTCCTTCCAAATTTACATGAAAAATTCCAGTAATATATGAATGTATAAACTGAACTGGGATATTTCCACTTATGAGGGTAATTCTCTGTCTAAGGAGAATTCTGTACTGGTGCAACATCATGGACATAACAGATTATCCAACAGTCACAATAAACATTGATTAGGACGCCAGCAAAACAAGCCACCAATACCATTTCTTAGAAACAATTTAAGATTTCATGCGGGGTTGTTTTGTTTTGTTTCCATTAAATTAGTCATCACAAAGAATAAAAGACTTCTGGATTTCTTTAATCTTATTTTATCATTTAGTATGGTTTTTATTATGTATTATATGTAGGGCCTGAGGAATATAGAATAATGTTTAGGGCGTCTCAAGGTCTCGCTTTGGGTTTACATAGGCTGTCTGCAAATAAGAATGGCAGAAAAGCAACAAACTCATTATTTTACTTTAGCTTTCCTGTAGAATTTTAGACTGGAGAGGAGCTTTGAAAATTATTTAATTCACTCTGGACGTAATACAAGTAGATGAAGCAAGGCCCAGAGAGGAATTCATTACGGCCACAAAGCCACCGAACAGAGATCTGGGATTTCAGATCTCTGAAGGACAAGGTGTCTAACCTTTATACACATTCTTCTTTTCCTCATTTCTTTTTCTCTCAAAGACAAATTTTGCAAGTATAGCTTCTTTCCATATTGCAGGAATGTTTATTACATTAAATGCTAGAAGTGGAAGAAATAATGCAGTGAAGTTATTGTTCAGGTGGAGTAAGGATTTTGTTGTTTTTATTTTGTCTTAAGTTTATAAAAAAAAGGAGTGGACAAATGTCTATCAGATCCTCTGCCTACTTTTTAAATAGATTGTTTGTTTGTTTTTTGGTGTTAAGGTTGTAAGAGTTATTTATAATTTTTGCATATTAAACCCTTATCAGATTTATCACTGGTGAACATTCTCCAGATTGGTAGGTTGTTTTTTTCATTTTGTTGATTGTTTCCTTTGCCATGCAAAACCTTTTGGATTTGACCCCAATATCTCTGCCGCCATACATAGTTATTGCAATATTATTGGCTATATTCCCTATGCTGTGCTTTACATGCCCATGACTGTTTTGTGACTATCAGTCACGTTCTCAATGCCATCATCTTTTTTCCCAGTCGCCCAAACTCCGTCCCCTCTGGCAATCAGCAGTCTGTTTCCTGTATCTGTGAATGTGTTTCGTTTGTTTGTTTATTTTGTTCTTTAGATTCCACATATAAGGGAATTCATATGGTGTTCATCTTTCACTGATTGAAGTTCTTCACTCACCATAATTTCCTCTAGTCAGGGGTGTCCAACCCTCAGCCCATGGGTCGCATGCAGCCCAGGATGGCTGTGAATGTGGCCCAACACAAAATCGTAAGTTTACTTAAAACAGGATGAGATGTTTTTGTGATTATGTGTTGCAATGTATTTAATGTGTGGCCCAAGACAACTCTTATTCCAGTGTGGCCTACAGAAGCCAAAAAGTTGGACACCCCTGCTAGGTCCATCCGCGCTATCACAAATGGTAAGATTTCATGGTTTTTCTTTGGCCTTATAATATTCTATTGTATATATGTACCCCAACTTTTTTATCCACTTGTCTGCTGATGGGCAATTGGGTTGCTTTCACATCTTGTCTATTGTAAATAATGTTGCAATGAACGGAGAGGTGCGTATATTTTTTCAAATTAGTGTTCTGGGTTTCTTTGGATATATACCCAGAAGTGAAATCATTGGGCCATAAGGCAGCTCCATTTTTAAATTGTTGAGGACCCTCCATACTTTTTTTCATAGCAGCTGCACCAGTCTGCACTCCCACCGAGAGTACTTCACATCCTCACCAGCACTTGTGGTTTGTTGATTTATTGACAATAGCCATTCTGACAGGTGTGAGATAGTATCTCATTGTGGTTTTAATTTGTATTCCTCTGATGATTAGTGACGTTAAGCATCTTTTCATATGTCTATTGGCCATCTGTATGTCCTCTTTAGAGAAGTGTCTAATCAGGTCCTCTGGGCATTATTTCATTAGATTGCCTGGGGTATTTTGGTGTTGATTTGTGTGAGTTATTTGTAAATTCTTGATAATAACCCCTTAATGAATGTATCATTGGTGAATATATTCTCTTATTGAGCAGGTTGTGCTTTAGTTTTATTGATGGTCTCCTTTGCTGTACAAAACCTCTTAAGTGTAGTCACACTTGGTTTTTTTTGTTTTCCTTTTGTTTCCCTTGTCCAAGGAGATAGATATATCAGAAAGAACATTACAAAGAGCAATGTCACAGAGTTTATTGCCTAAGTTTCGATCTACAAGTTTTATGGTTTGGGGTCTTACATGTAAGTTTTATATCCATTTTGAGTTTATCCTCGTCTATGGTATAAGAGGGTGGTTTAGTTTTTTCATGTATCTGTCCAGTTTTCCCAAAATCATTTTTTTCTTTTTTTAATGTTTATTTAAACCATTTTTCTTTTTAATTACAGTTAACATAAAATATCATATTAGTTTCAAGTGTACACCCCAGTGATTAGGCATTATATAACATTCTGATATATCTCATACCTATCTGACACCATATGTAGTTGTTACTGTCTTTACCCCATTGTATGTTCTCACTTCCTTTGTTATATATTAATTGACCATATAGGCATGGGTTTATTTCTGGGCTGTCTATTCTGTTCTATTGATAGATGTGCCTTTTTTTATGCCAGTTTCATGCCATTTTGATTACTATAGCCTCATAGTATAATGTGATGTCTGGTAGCATGATAACTCTAACTTTGTTCTTTCTCAAGATTGCTATGGCTATTTGGGGCCTATTATGGTTTCATGTAAGTTTTCAAATTATTTGTTGTAGTTCTGTGAAAAATATCATTGGTATTTTGGTAGGGATTGCATTAAATCTATAGGTTGCTTTCAAAAGTATGGACATTGTAACAGTGTTAATTTTGCCTATCCATGAGCAAAATATATGCTCCCATTCATTTGTATCACCTCAATTTCTTTCTTCAATGTCTCATAATTTTCCATGTACATGTCTTTTACCCTCCTGGTTAAATCTATTCCTAGGTATGTTTTGATGCAATTGTAAGTGGGATTGCTTTCCCAATTTTTTTTTCTGATAGTTCATTATTAGAGTATAAAAATGCAACCAATTTATGAATATCAATTTTGTATCTTGCTCTTTTACTGAATTTATTTGTCAGTTCTAATAGTGTTTTGGTGAAATCTTTAGGGTCATTATAAAATAACCAGGGGATTATAGCATAGGGAATATCGTCAGTCAATAATGTAATAACTATGTAGGGTGCTAGGTGGGTACTAGACTTATTGGGAGAATCATTTTGTAAATTACTTAAATGTCTAACTATTATGGTGTACACTTGAAACTTATATAAAACAATGTTTAGTATCAGTTGTAATACAAAAAATTAAAAAGTGCCATAGAAAACAAAGGAGAGGGGTTTTTTAAATTTTCTCTTTATAAGTAGCAGAATGACTCAATATTCTTTAAGCCTTGCTCTAGGAAATAGGATAAAAGAACAGAATCCCATGTTATTAATTCACAGATAAATTAGAGTCAACATTATGAGCTACCATTACTCTAGACAGTGCTTTCACTTTTCTGCCCCTTATATTCCGTTCTCTCTGTTGGCCTCCCTGTGATATGTTCTACAAAGTCATGCAGTCTTTTGCTTATGAATGTATGACTTAGAAAAGAGGGTGGAGAGGCGCTGGCAGGGGAAAAAACAGGAAATAATTATTATGTTTTGACTCTCAATGATGTGCCCCAGAATGCGCAATGGAATTTTTTGCATGCATTATCTAATTTAACTCTTACAACCCTCTTAAGAGGTAGGTACTCTTATCATTCTCACAGTGCAGATAAGGAAACTAAGGTTCAGAGAGAGAAAGATTCGGTTAATTTCTTGAGGTAACAAAGCTAGAAAATGGCAAAAATGAAATTCACTATTATGACTGCCTGGATCCAAAGTCTATGCTATTTTCACTATTCCACTAGCTTCTCCCCGCTCCGGAGGGACTGTTTAATACGATGGGGTTCCTCATGACACATGGGGTTCATAATGTGCCTTCAAAGGGCACAGTATGGCAGGACATTTCTAATCCCATAGACAACCCTATTATCTATTACTCTAGTTAGGCCATCAGGATATAACTGGAAACTTGTCCCCACACATATCACCAACCCTCCTTACCACCCACTTTGCCTTTAGTACTGGCACTGTTTGTACTCTCATCTATCATCTATGCAGAGGTTCTGAGAGAGCAAAGGAAAATGCATCAAGTGCATTTAAATTTCAGGAAATAAAAAACCTCTCGCACCCACCCATAGCACCCCTCCACTTCTGCAATTTACA